CATATCACTCAATGTATCTGTGTATATTTTGCATTATATAATACTCTTCTTTTTGTCAGGTGACCCGTCCTTAGATTCGTTAAACCTTGGTCAATTACCAGCTACCAGTTCCTCAACGTTGACCTCCCTGGGCCCCGGAACGATTGATCGAACTAGTTTGCGCAGTTCAGTCAGTCGGGACAGTTCACTGACCATCGTGTCCGCTGCGAATGACTATCCGCATTCCGGGAGCGATGGGCTGGATGAACATTCACTTGATACTCATCGAGATGGACTGTTGCGGCAAAGTTCAAACCGTCGATCCTCCATGTCTCCAGCTCCTAGTCTGTCGTCTGTTAATCAGCCACTTTTCCGCTCTGGCCTAGGCTCCATTGGTAGCGCTAGTAATCACCTGGTGTCCAGTACTATTTCAACCGTACCCGCGAGCGGTGGTGGACTGAGAGCATTACGAGGCGGTGATGTGGTATTCCGCGCTTCCACTCACACGACCGGAGGTAATTTGACTATGCGACGCAAACCACTGGGTACCAGCGGATCGGGACTGATGCTAAGCGAGGCGAGGCCTATGGGTTCACGGTAGGTTAGGATTTTATTTTCCCGCCTCCCTATTTTCCTTCTATCATTGGATTGAGGATTGTACAACTGAGCCCCTTCACACGCAGGCTTTTCTCTCACTCACTGGATTTCTGTAGTTGTTTTATTCGTCTGATCAGGTGAACGTGTAGTCGGAAAAGTGGATAAATTCCTAGTTTTTTTTATCCAAGTTAAATAATTGTTTCCCAATATCAAAGTTCCTTTTAAATCAGACAGTACTAACCTAATAAGCCTTCTTTTGCATTCACCCAATTCGTGTGTATATTTCTCATTGACCTGCAACTACTGCCACCCGACTGTTTTGTGGAGATAGGTCACCTCGCTTTCGAACCTGTTTATTGCTTCACCTATGGCATTAGGGCTGCGTTTGATATTTTACTTCAACTACGAGGGCTTAGATTGCCAGCTGTCCTAACCGAACAACAGATTTCGACGGTCATTTGGTTCATCCTTCCTTCGCTCATTGTTCATCACGCTGACGGATCACACCATCTGTTCGGTAAATTTATCATTTTGTCGAAAATATCGATGATGATGTGTATCTTGAAACACTAGGTTTCCTTTAGGCATCGCATCAAAGCCGAAGGAAGATATATGTCGCGAGATGTTAACATTTCGTTTAATCTTCTCAATCGCTGACGTAAAACAAACAAGCACTTTTATAGTACATTAGATTTGTAAATCCTAGTGAACGAACATGTACAGTTAGGCAGGGACTATTAGAATTAAAACAATACAGGTCAACTCCACGGCAAGTGAACTGATTGGATCAACAACTTTTGAGCGCATTTCCGAACGCTATAAGGCAATACAATATCTGAAACGTATGCTAGATCTTAGATTCTTGAAACCGGACAAAGGATCTGGTACCGTGATCATGACCAGGGATAGTTGTTTAACAAAATGAAAGAAATACTACTGGACGAGATCAAGTTCCAAATAGATAAGTCACCGGATAACAACCACCTCACTGAAAGCCTTATCGTAAGGAAATTATATATTATGTTATTACATGGCTACATATCCGAAACACAGTATAAACAACTGAAGCCAATGGGGACAGAAACACCACACATGAGAGGCTCACCTAAAGTTCATAAACCCGGGACTCCTCTCAGACCGATTTTGTGCATGCAAAAATCACCATATCACAAACTCGCTCGATGGTTGGTGGAAATTCTAAATCCCATACGTAAGTCTTTAACACCCCATTGTTTAAAAGATTCTTTTGAACTTTCAAATTGCCTCGAAAATTTGACCATATCTTTACAGCGGATGTATTCTATAGATGTGGATTCCCTTTTCACTAAAGTTCCACTTCATGAAACAATTGATTTTTTGTGATTATCTTTCTTCAGGTAAGTTTTCCCTTGCCATTCCTCTTGAATACTTAAGAGAACTAATATTTTTATGTACCGAAAACATACGTTTTGAATTGGAAGGAGCCACGTATAAACAGGTTGATGGTGTGGCCATGGGCAGTCCATTAGGCCCAATTCTAGCCGATGTATTTTTAGGAATGATTGAACAAATTCTTTCTAATAATATTTCCCAGTCCACCTTGTACAGACGTTATGTGGACGATATTTTTATTCTTACGGAGCGTGAACATTTTGAATCCCTTTCGAGACATACAACTCTGTTCATCCAAATCTTTCCGTATCCCACGAAGAAGAAAGCAATGACTCTAGCATTTTTGGATATAAGAATTACGAGGTGCTTAGATGGTACATTGCAGCGTTCTATCCACAGAAAAGTAACATGGAGTGGTCAGCATCTACAGTTCTCTAGCTTCTCACCCATGGCTGACAAACGTGGACTCGTAAAAACTCGGTTCCATCGCGCCAGAAGAATTTGTTCCCCAGATACANAGAAAACGTTACTACGAAACGGTTACCCTGAAAGATTCATCAATATTCACAGTAAAAAATCTCAACAAGGTAACCCATCGCCAGCTGTTCCCCAGAAAGCCGTTTACATCAAACTATCTTTTAAAGGCGATCACCTTTTGAACGATGTGCGCCAAAAGTTGAAGTCAGCTCTCAACCGCACATTCCCAGTTGCTCAACTCCGACTTATTGCCTCTACTCGTGGAATCGATTTGGACAAACATGTGCATGGTTGGCAATCCAGTTCTGTCTCACACACAGCATACCAGTTCACCTGCAGTTGCGGTGGCGCATACATAGGCAGTACCAACCGTCAATTATCACAGCGGATGGCCGAACACATTCCAATGTGGTTGGTCAACTCGATGACGCAACCCACGCCCAGTAATCAGACGGTCACACGTAACCCGGGGTCATCAATTGCAAAACATCTCATGACAACCAAGCACATAATTGATCCCGCTTCCTCTTTCAAACCGTTGTTACGTAAT